CAGTTGAAATCCAAATGCTGGCAATGATGCATTTGATCTTTTCCTGCAAAGGTTTCTTCATTGGCTGTGCCACGGCGTAGTACCGGTCGATGGCAATGAACACACAGCTATAAACAGACACAGAGAAACACACTTGTGCTATAAAATGATAGTAATTTGCACAACGCGTTCAACCTGCTCGACGTCAGCAAAGTTCACTTTATGTATTGATACAGGAAATACAACGAGCGATACAAGAAAGTCACTTGCAGCCATGTTGGCTACGAGACTACTTGGTGGTAGTTTTCAATCGCTTGTCTTTGTTTACTATAAATAAAATGAGAGAGTTCCCGATAATGGCAAAAACGAATTGAGAAGAAAAAGCTACTGTCCATGGTAAGCTTGTAGGGTTGGACAAGTTTGAGCCGGTGCTATTCATTAGTCTATTGCGCTTGCCTTCTTGCAGCACCTAGACCGCACGGAAAATAATACTGTCTTAAATGCTCGGGTAAAACGCAGTAAATAATTCTTTGAACTAAAAAAACCGTATGAGTAATGTACATAGACCATTTTAAGCGATTTTTCCCGTAATACCGCATCTTAAAACTTCAAATACCGCATATCGCACAAAATACAAATCCCGCATTACCGCATTTATTGCCAAATTACCGCAATATCGCATGAAAAAACGGTCAATCCCGCAATCCCGAAAACCCCAATGTACCCGATAATGTATTATTTTCCATTTATTTACTGTGTTTATGATAGGTTCAGACCTTGATCTTTTGTCGCGTTTAATCTAATTGCTTTTTATAGTTCATGAGAAGTTTGCAGTCTACTCAGTTGATAATAAATACTGATACAGTAATGAATGCCAATAAATTCAGAGCACATATGATCGTAACCTCAACTCCAGCAATTAGATTAGGCGAGAAAAAAGATCGATGTCTGGACAGTGCCTTAATTAATAACACTTGATTTCACTTATTTGAACTTGCGATTAATTTTCTTTAGTTCAAATTTTTAATAAAATTTTTAAATTGACCAAAAGTCCCATTCAGAGCATGATATCCCGCAAGGAGCGTTCCATTTATCAGAAGTGACTGATCAGAAGTGAGTGACCAGACTAAAGGAGAATAAACCCTTTTAGAGATCTTACACTGTGTATTATTATATAGATGATTTCTAACGCGCGCTCTGATTGGCCAAAAAAGTGTGGTTTATGAGAGTTTATAAAATTTTTGATATATAACGCGTGCTCTGATTGGCTGACGACCGTGTTTATATCGGAGGACAGAGATACGGCTTACCGCCGTGCCTTTGCATCGAAGCGAGACGACCGTTGAGCTTGCAATGATAGAAACCTTTTTTCACACCTACAGACAAGTATTCACAGGTTTCTATCATTGCACGCTCAACGGTTGTCTCGCTTCGATGCAAAGGTACGGCTACCTTTCAAGATGGCGAAGGTAACCGTGAAGGAGACTATTTGGTGGTAGCATACATAGTAACGCGTTAGCCGAGCAATTTATTGTGCTCAAATGTTGGAAAACGGTTGTTGGAGAGAAATTTAAAAGGCGCGCCGAATCTTCGACCGAAAGCTGCTCCACCAAAGGCAGCCAATACTTCCGTTTTCTTCAAGTAAAATGAAGATCTTTGGTAATGGTTTGTTTGGTTTTTCATGTTTTTCAGCCAATATTCTGGAAATGCTACTTCTGGGATTTACAAACAAGAAATTATAAACTATTTTTTTGTATCTCTGAGTTATTTATTCCCCAATAATGAAATCAGTGTAAAGTGGTTATTGACATCCCGTACAGATGTTTTTATTTGATTCTTATATATTTTCCTTTAGGCTAATTAAATGAAGCTTTTGCAGTTTTTGCATAGCTTCTTTTCAATTTGCTTGATATCCCCCAGTTTTTATATTTATGTTTCCCATGATGAATGATTCCCATTTTCGATATGCAGAGAACAATGAAATGCTAATGTTAATGTTACAATTACTAAGAAACCCTGAATATAAATGTTTTAGGACAAAAAATACTGGTACAGGACCAAGTCATGTGTGTATATTTTATGGTCCAAAATACTCTTGAAGCTTGGCGGGACCCTCACGCATCCAGTACCAGATATATTGGGGCTTTTTCATTTGGCCTTGAGCATTGATCCATGGTGCGGGGTAGTAATTACTAAACTTAGCTGAAAAATGAAATTGTTTACGTCGTAAATATCCTTTTTTTAATGTATGTTATCCATCTATTCAATAAACTAAACGAATTGGAATAATCATCGAGTTAGAGGTTGAGTTGAGAGTTTGAGTCAACCTATTG